CGTTGTTGGATATAACAGTATGCTTACTTGTACAGCATGACAATTTAAAGGGTTGATGTTCACATTTTTTTTTTGGATATTTAACTTGAGAAACATGTATGAATAAACAGTCCCTTAAATCAGATTTGTTTTCTTTGACAGAATAACCATCACCGTTACCACTATACTTGTTCTCATTTCATCTATATAAAAAACTGGACTGAAATGATGATACGATTTTTAACAGAACCCTACAACCTTTAAGTACAATTCCTTATGTAATATTTACTTTGGATTTCAGGTACTATATTTTAAATGGAGTCATTTATTTCCTGATCTTTAACAGACCACTCAATTTGAATGCTAGCTTAGAAAAATTAATACCTGTTCTAAGATCATCAGTTTAAAAACTTTTTTTTTTTTTTTTTCAAAAATCTCTCGCCTATAGAAAACTCTGATTAATTAGGATGCTCAAGGGTAGGCTATCTTGGCTAACTGAAATGCTATGCTTAAGTCAGGGTAATCGGATTCACTTTATAAAGTACTATATGCCAAAACAGATTCTCTGATGGATCTATTCTGAGGATTATTCACTCTGAATTGTACTTGATGAAAAAATTCTGGAAATACAGGAGGTTCACCCTATATCTCCTGGATAATGGTCCCAGAATATTCCTCAGAATTAATTATCACTTGCTTAATTCTACTAAAAAAGGTCAATATTAGGGGCTGGGTCAGCTGGCCTCCAATAAGCCAGTGTTTTATTCTAACAGAAGTACAGCAATAGTTAATTCCTTTCAACATTAAATTCTCAGAACTGTGACTGCATTCACCACTCATGTATGTGGGCAAAATAATTTTTAAAAACCAGGTAACTCTGGATCAAAAGCTCCTAAACAGCACAGGTCTTTCTGCAAATGAATGGCCTAATGACTCAAGGTTAGGGAGAGGTTTTTTTTTTTTTATTTTTATTTTTTAAATTTTATTTATTTATTTATTTATGACAGTCACACACACACAGAGAGAGGCAGAGACACAGGCAGAGGGAGAAGCAGGCTCCATGCACCGGGAGCCCGACGTGGGATTCGATCCCGGGTCTCCAGGATCGCGCCCTGGGCCAAAGGCAGGCGCTAAACCGCTGCGCCACCCAGGGATCAGTTTTTTAATCTGCAGTCAGGGTTTGAGGTTTAATGCAGTGGCTGTCAATCTAAAATTCATTCAAAATTATTCTTCACAGGCCAAATTAGAGATAACATCTGGCTCATATATAAATGAAGTATAAAAGAAACATAAAAGGTTATAATAAAAAGCACTTTAAATATTAAATATAAAGGTATATCATATATAAAATATGAAAAGTTTAGAAGATTCTGTATTTTGAACAATAATACAAATGTTTTCTAAATCATGAGATTCTGTGTTTGGTATCTATAATAATGGTAACTATTTTATTTAATATATACTGTGTGACTAAAAAGGTTCCCAGCCTATGATGTATATATAATCTCATTTAATCCTGATAACACTTCTGCAAATTAAATACTGTATCGATTAAACAGAAAGAGAAGGTAAAGTTCAATTTATAATTTAAAAGTAAAAAAAAAAAAGAACCAGAGCAGGGATTCACCAAGTTCAGACTTCAAAAGCTCTAACTTTTCTGTAATACCACTTTTTCCTCAACAAAAATAAAGAGTCGATTCTCATTACTATTTGTGGGTTCCACATCTGCAAATTTGCCTACTCACTAACATTTATTTGTAACCTCCAAATCAATTTTTTTCAATTTTATTTTTAAGTCATCTCTCCACCCAACATGGGGCTTGAACTTACACCCTGAGATTAAGAGCTGCAGGCCCCAATGACTGAGCCAGCCAGGCACCACATTGTCAAATCAGTTCTTGTAGCACTTTTATGGTCATTCAGGAGCAGTGAAAAATTTGTCACCTAGTTCACGTGTGCATTCTCAACAGAGGTCACATAAGAAAACAGTATGCATTCCTGTTTCAGCTCTAATACTATAAACAAGGGTCCTTTTTGTGATTTATTCAGTGCCACATTTTTCAGTTTTGTGTTTTTCGTCAGCAATTTTTTGTTTTAAATGAACCCCAATACAGTGCTGATGTGTTGACAAGGGTTCCTAAGTATAAAGAAGGCCATGATGTGCCTTATGGAGAAATACTTGTGTTAGGGCAGCCTTGCTTGGGCATGGGTTATGGTGATGTTGGTCAAGAGTTTAATGTCAATGAATTAACAATATATATTAAGGTGTTTTTAGACACAAAGATAGCTAAAACAATGAATTATGTATTGATTGACTGATAAAAATGTTGTGACCAGAGGCTCACAGGAACCTAACCTGGTATTTCCCTTAGGAGCAATGGTTCAGTACTTGCTAATTAGTGTCCAGGGGCAACTTTATAGAACGTAAGTACAGTGAATGATGAGAAATCCAATTGAAAACTTTTCCCCTAAGAATGTATCCATTTCAGTAAAAGATTCTCCTGTCATTTCCTTCAAAGTCATCATTATATCTGTGTAGTCACTACTCATCTGTATAAGAGAAAGAAACCTTTTGTTGCCATTCCATTTAATGGGTTTTAGCTATGTGTTGACTTTTCTCAGAAAACTAATCTCTCTTAAAAGCAATCTAGACTTCTGGTGTGAAAGTCTAAGGAATTAAATTTCATTCTTATGTCATGGGTACTGTTTAAAATGACTGTTTTGTGACATTATAATTTTTAAGACTAGGTTGTTACATACAATATGGACAGTATGAGCAGCAGCAGCAGCAACAACAACAACAAAACTTAGCAGAGGAATTTAAAAATATCAGCACAAATTGGAACTCTTACCTTTCTTGTCCGAGTCAGATATTTTATTGAAAAAAAAAAAATTACAGTACTTAAAAATCCAAACAAGGACAATTCAGGATTGAAAGAAAGAAAACCTGAAGGAGCCCATTGTCTTCAGTAAAATTTGAATACAAAAAAATGTAGACCAGGAAAACAGTTTATGGCCTAATGCACTAGTTCCATGATAAACACACATATATAGTATATCTCCATCAAGTGACACTTAATCACCTTTTTACAATTTAGAGAGGGAAGGCAGCTTTTACTATGGTTAAGCCATGTATCATCAATACCATGAAGCTAGCCTATCAGATGTAATAGCTTCTATAAAATACCACAGTGAGATTGCAATAAGCCTAGAAAATGGGCTACAAATCCCAGCTATGCTCAAGCAAGCAGTGAACCAAAAATAAAAATAGGTAAAACTGAACCAAGAACTAGATAGCATTCATCTAGATTCATGATTGGTAAGGCAAAGTTCATAGGCCAAGGTTTTAAAGTGACTTATTCAGATCTAAAAGACAGTCATTATACAAAATAAAATAAAAGCATTTATGTAATTCAGGAAAAAAAAAATGAATTTTTACTCCAAAGGACATAGCACAAATAAGCTTACTTACAATGACCAAACACCACATTATTGTACCTCTAAAATATCACTTTAAATATGCAAAGGTAAAGATACTCAAAGTTGCACTTTATCATATTTAATCTCTCCAGTTTAGACAAGCAATCTAAAAGATGTCATACACTCTCTGCTTAACACATTTTCTGAAATCTTTCAGACTGTAATACCTTTGGGTAAAAGAAATGTCAACTTTAAGTTTCTTTTCCAATCATAATATTTATGTTAGCCATTAAATGCTGAATTAACAATTAATCCATACAACAGTATAAAAATACATGTATTAAATCACAGTTTTCATCAATTATTGGAATTTAATAAAAATATTAGTCATTTTAATATACCATTTTGAAGAATTCAAATGGCCTGAATGTTGTATACTGTCTAAATTATAGCATCAGTAGAAATGTTACATTTTCCCCTCTGTTTATGAAAATGAGCTCATGCAAGTATTTCTGACACTCACGGCGACACATACGGTCTGCCAAAGGTGTGCAAGCAGTGCTCACTTTTAAACATGACAATAGGATTCAGAGGCATACAGTATTAGTTGAAATACCAGCTTTCACATGATTTCCATAAACTCTAAGCCAAAATGATAATTTTGAGTGGTTTCAGGTATCAAACAAAGCAGATAATTTAAAAAATAATAGTAAATGATTCTACTAGCACAGACTAGTTACCACTGTGGTTAGCTTAAAACTAGGATGATTTTTTTTTTTTTTGTAGTACAATGAACACTATACTATAAAATACAATGGGTTTGTAATACAGAGCAGATTATTCAAGTAGAAAGCAAACTGAACAAAACAGAAATTCTAGTAAAGATTATCAACCTTACCTACTACTCATCTTAGCCCTTGTTAAAATACCCTGAGTAAAATGCAAATACTTTAAATAATGCTGGTTATATAAGACTTCTCTAAAAATGAGCCATAAATGTCAATGCATCATGTTTATTTACAACAGTCAGATATGTAAAAATTAGTTCTTAACCAATCACAATATAAACATTAAGGAATACTTATGTGAGATCTGGAAGATTTCCATTTTTCTAGCTTTTGTTAGCATTTTGGCAAAGCAAGTAATACATAAATGGATTCAATGTAAAAAAAAATCATAAAAGAGAAAAATATATAAAATTTACAGTAGTTCTACCCACCCTGGGCCAACCTAGATCCCTAGAAAGCCTCCCCAACCAGGTTCACTTCTGACTAAAGGAAGAATACCAGTCCTCCAGCAAAAACAGCCCCATCTTTTCATCAAAGAGGCTCTCACTTCAATGATATTCCTCCAGGGGAAGAGGACAGGAGCCAGGTTCCCTCGAATGTCATTCCCCAGATGTTCAAAACGTAACTAATTTATTAGCATTAGAAGATTTGGTTTATAGGGGAATCTCACTGGTCCAGTTTGTAGCCTACAAAAAAATGGATTATTTTTAAGTATAACATTAGAATATGAATAAAAGATGAGGATGTGGCTTTTTATTCCATAGAAATGGATACATTTCCAAACATGACAATTAAACAAAAAAGCATGCCTACCATTGGAGTTGTGGTCCCTCCTGATTTTTTAATGGTCTTAGAAGGCATTCCATGCAGGCGACTGAGTCTAGCTTGAAAACCTGGAAAATCAAAGTCTTCAATTTAGGAGATTCTATGATCATTGTTCCTTTCGAAACAGAATGCAGAATGAGTAGAAGGAAACATCTTGAAACTATCTGAAGCAATGTCTAGTAGGGTTCTAATGAGCTTAGTACACAACTACGGATTATTTAAGAATTAGGACATTATTCAGGGCTTTTCTTTCCTCCTGATTTACCTTTCTAACATTTCAACATTGTCATAATGGTCTTAGCAAGAAGGCAAGTTAACTTCTCCAATAATTAGAATGCATGATAAATGTAGTAGCTGAATTACTGTTCAACATGTTTCTTAACAGCATCTTATATTTAGACGCTTTCATTGCCATTTCAGCCTATCCTCTTTAATGATTATTCCTAGAGTCACCATAAGCCCACCATATTCAGCAGTCAGCAGGTGCTACTGACCTCTTCTTCCTGGATGCGACATAAGAGGGAAAGAACCAGTTAAGATACTTTCAAAGACAGGATCTGGTAAATTTTTGTCTAGCTCGGTAGGATCTTCCTTTTCCCACCAGGGCACAACTCCAGTGATGCCACAGGCTCCCCCTGATTCCTTCTCGTAAAACCAGTCACTCTGCTCATCATCACCTGTGTGAATACAAGAAATCCCCCAAAGATTCAGTTTTATTGTCCAAATACACAGTTATCAGATTTAGAGTTAAATACAAGAGAACAAATGAATTTGAATTTCAGAGAAACAAATTTTAACATCAATAAATAGTATCCACACAAAATTTTTAGTATGTCTAGATACTACATGGACATACTTATACTAAAGGAAGGATTTGTTATTTAATTAAAAGTCACATTTAACTGGGGATCCTGTATTTTATCTGGTAATCATTTATGTAATCTATACAGAAAACTTATTCTACATCATGACTTCACTAAAAAATGTTTTTTAACACTACAAGAACTGCCACCACAACAAAAACACAAGCTTTTCTGTTTTAGAACCAATTAAAAAATGTGAAGAAAAATAAATGTGGCTAATTCTAGGGCAAACATTGTAGAGAAATCCAGTTAAGTTACTACCCTTTCCAAATTAAAGAAAAACAAGCCTTAATCTCCTATGGAGAATTAAAAGTATAAAACTGTAGAACCTGTTCTCTGCAGCTGATAATGGCATATAATTAGCTTAATTTCATGATTTGTATGGAGTGTAAAAGGGGAAACAATCATGAACAGATGTGACTAAATGAAATTAATCTGATTAAGTTCATTAAGAAATAGTTGTGAAAAACTTGATTTTAAATGAAAAGTGACAATACCACAGAATTTACAAAGAAACTACACTGGAATACAATAAGCAAGATGTTTTTAAAACAGAACACAATCCATAGTAAGTCTGACTTTTGGGAACATCCATGAGTGTAACCATGGAGAAATGATCCATTTAAAATTCAGTTCAAAATGTACTGGTGAGTGGACAGTATTTTGTTTTTAATACCAAAAATATGAATCAACAGATTTTTGTTTTCACAATAGGAATAAGGAGGCAAAAATACAGAAGACAGATGGCTTTTAAAAATAAGTGACAAACACATTTTGAGTATGATCCTTGATTCATTAAAGTCTCCGTGATTCTCTGAAAAACTACTAATTCTGGTTTTTAAGAGGGTCATCACAACTACCATAAAGTCTTTCCCTTTACTGAAAGAGATTTCTGACTTCTAAAATATCTTACTACAAATATTTTTAAAAGCACACTAGAAAAAAAACAAAGCTTCAATCAAAAATGACTTTACAGGAAACAGCCATACTTCAAATTGTGAGTGAAAAGTTTAAAGCATTTGGAAAACCAAAGCCACCAGTTTATTTCAATTGAGGATTTAATAAAAATTAATTTTTAAAAATGACCACATTTCAAAGCACATAAGTATTACTTCTTTTACTGATAATTATATTAAAATTTCCCAGAACAGGTACAGGTACAAGAAAAGAAAAGGAGTCACTTGAAGCTAATTATCCTAGATGTTAATTCCAGTGGAGACAATGTTATTATGGAGAAATGAGGTTATTTTTTTTTTATGTGATATACAACTTTGTTCTTAATAGGGAAATCACATAGTGACAGATTACAAACTTGAGCTCTGAAGTCAGACCAATTAGAATTGCAGTGTCTGCAACACTGGGGAAGGTATCTAGACTCTCTGAGCCTAGGTTTCACCAAACGCCCCCAAAAAAGACTCTCCTGGAGAAAAGCGTAAGTAAATTGAATTACAAAAATGCACTTAGAAATGTAAAATATAATAAGCTCATGATAAATGGTAGCATATTATTCTATACCTTTCAGAGCTTTTCAAAGAGGGACAGATTTCTCTAAAAGTTATTTTTCAAAAGTTTTTTTTCATTTCATTTCAGTACCAAGTACAACATTTCTAATAACTTTGAGGAGACACGTGTATTTAAATGAGAATTTCAGTATATTATCAAGGTATCAAAGCTCACTCTGAGCCTCAGGGTTCTAACATATTTCAGCAGTCTCTTAACTTTAAAAAGTCTATGGTCTTTAAAACAGTATGCACCTATTTACCTGGAATATATATGGCTTTATAAGTAAGCAACAATGATAGATCATTTATTTTATTCCTACTGCCAGGAGGATGAACAGACTAAGAGAAAAACGCATAGGTAGCTACTATTTCCTTCTTTTTTTCCTATCATTAGACTATAATTTTTTTAGACTATTTATAATTTAAAACAAAGTTTTGGTTTCTTTTTTCCCCTTAGAACTTACTGCTTTCCTCTAAAGATTCTCAAGAAAGGCAGATAACATTTGCAGGTATGCCTCCTGCCTCCTTACTCAGTTTTTTCCTATTTTCTTCCCAAATAGGTAGCTTCAAAATAATGCCATGGGAAAGTGTGAAAAGCTTCGGGGAACTTCAAAGATGTAAAAAGATCTAAGTGGTAAGACATGACTGTTTAACAGTTTACAATATTGAACTCATGAAAAGTGTCTAATTACTTACGAACTGGATAGGATGAATAAATGTCACAGCTGAATAAAAATGACAAATGACTTGCAAATCCACCTTTATTAATGCTTACACAGTATTAAACACATGTGGAATCAGGTGGAGACTGAGAACCGGTGTCTTGTGAACTTGCTGAGACAAAATTGAAAAGACTGATGTACGTAAAGCTTTCTTAAAGAAGATGATCCTTCCTTAATATTATTAGCTCTACATACTAGCTTTTGGAGATAATCAATTACTTTAGGTCATGAAGACAGGGTACCCTGCATAGTATAGAAAATAACCAAACCCCAGTCCACTGACTAGGTGTGTGTAACTTAAATGGATTGCAGTCCTGAACCTAGGAAATAACTAGTAAAAAGCACAACTTTAAAATGAAGACGTTTTCCCAAAAGAATAAAAGAAATAGCATTTCAGTACCTTGTCTTCCCTCATCATTCGTAAATAAGCCAGCATCAGTGCTGCTGAGACTGCTGGAATCACTGCAATAAAGGAAAAGGAAAAAAAAAAAAAAAAACAAAAAAACAAAAACAAAAAAAAAACAGATCAAAAGAACAATTGATCTCTCAGTCGTAAAATTTTAAAGAGACATGGCAGTTCAGAGATGAAACTTAAGCCTGATAAAGATCGGAAAGAAAACAAGATGATTTTTTTTTAATCAAACTGCAAATATTCTGGTTCCATTAACTACAGAGCATATTATTTTTGGCACATAAAACCACAGGAATCTAATGGGACCCTGACAGTAAGCCAGATGTGACTGCGACGAGGTGCTGACACAATTGATGCATTTTATTATCTGCTTTCATTGAATGCTCACTGCTCCTTTCTTATGTCATGCAATTCAGCCTGAGTGTGGAACACCACTGCTCAATAAAATGGGCAAAGTCTCAATCAAAGGCAGGCTCAGCCTTTCTTCAGCACATGACATGCAAGGGCCCAGGATGAAATTACTTCTCATGACCACATTTGCAAATATTCTGGAAAAAGACATTACTTAAGAATTCATAACAACTCTATTACTTGGCAAGGAAGAAAAAAAAGTTTACAATGGTAACAATCCATTAAATCAACGTTAAAATCTCTCTGAGTAATCACCGAGCAAAATATGGAATACTGCCAATATTAAGGAGGAGGTCTAAAAAATAACAGGTTCTCCATACTTCCAAAGAAGTTCGAGTATGATACAATGTCAAATTTCATATACAAATTAAACAGTAGATATTCAACTGACATAAACTGTCAGTACTAGTTCTAAGGGAAGCAATACTTAATCTAGTTAGTTAAAAGTTGAAAAAACAAGATCATGTAACAAGAGGTTTGGCCTCTAAACAAAATTGATAATGTTCTTTAAAAATTCTCATATACTCTTTTCTTCCTGTAATTCCTAATGTTAACCAGTCAGGAAATTGCCCCAGGAGAATTTTGTCATACTTTCCCATTAACGTGTACAACCCTATAACCTGACATACTAAACAAAACTGATCTGTTTTTTTAAAAAAAATTAATCTGCTTTAAAAGATTTAAATTGAGAGTTTAGGATTAAAAGTATAGATGAGATCTAAATCCCTGTTATCTGAATATAGGATATCATTTCAATTATTTGATTTTTTAAAAATAAAAAGCATAAGGATTTATTAAGTGGTTCATTTTCCCAAAGAACTCTAAGTACCATTTTCTTTAATTTTCTTCATATTAGGAGAATGTATGAAGCTCCCTATACTGCACAAGTGTTAATGAAAGAAAGGAATACTTCCTTAGACAATCACACTCATAACTGCTATTTACAAACATGCACGTTCTCTTAGGCACAGAGATGTCTGAGTATTAAAAACACTTCGAAAACTTCATTTTATTTGCTATCTAGCTGGGTAAACTACTATTGACTTTTTTTCTCTTCAGTGACTGATTAGTTCTTTCCTGTCTGCCTGCATCAACACAACCCTAACACAGGGCCTTATCCTACATACCCTGAGTCACAATTCTTTTTCTGAAATCCTTGAGGCAAAATGTATTTGAAATTCACAATTTTTCAAAGTCTGGAAAGATATGTTCTAAAATGCCTAAAAGGGGTATAGGGTAGTGTACCAGTATCAAACCTATTAATATGGTTTTTCAAATAAATGAATGAATATCCATATTAAATCCAGGTCAAGCTAGGTCTGGCCACCAATGAATTAGCTTTTCACAGCTTTCAGAATTCAGATTTACAGATAAAGGATTGTGAAACTATGTGCTCTTTTTTTTTTTTTTTTGGAGGGAGGCGGGATACAATGGTCTTCTAATTTCTGAGTTCAGATTCACTTCTTTTAATATTCTACATACAGCCAAGCTCATATTTTATAAATATAATTTGCTGGCCAAAAATATTATGATATCCTGGATGGGATCCTGGAACAGAAACATTAAAAAAACAAAAAACAAAACAAGGAATTTCTAAAACAAGTACTGACTTTTGTTAATAACGTGTCAACATTGGCTTATTCATTCAGACTAGTACATCACAGTAATGTATGATATTAATAATAGGGGAAACTGGGTACAGATATATGGGAACAGGATATACAGAAAATCTCTGTACTATCTTTACAATTTTCTATAAATCCAAGTGTTCTAAAAGAAAAAGTTTATAAAACATACATGTGTATATCTATGCATATATACATATATAAAATAAATAAAATAATAAAGTATTTTCTATTAAAAATCTAAAATTACTTCCCCAAACTTGTTGGATTAAATATAGATTTCAAGGCTCTGTATGGATGAGACCTACCTAAATTCTTCCCATCTCTATTTCTGGCTTATGTTCTTTCTCCAAGTGGTATCCCAATTTTCTCTTTCCTCTCTCTGCCTTCGTACTTTTTTTTTTCCTTAAGATTTTATTTAAATTTAAGTTAGTTAACATATAGCATATTCTTAGTTTTAGGGTTAGAATTTAGTGATTCATCAGTTGCATATAACAGCCAGTGCTCATCACATCAAGTGCCCTCCTTAATGTCCATCACCCAATTACCCCAGCCCCCTACCCAGTTCATCTCCAGCAACCCTCAGTTTGCAACCCTCCTATATTTAAGAGTCTCATGGTTTGCTTTCCTCTCTGTCTTTATCTTATTTATTCTTTTTAAAGAGAGAAGGAAATCAAACTTCCCCTTCCAAGAGCAGCTTAGTCCCTAATGATCCTTATCTTCATTTGGCATCTTTTCACATGTGTTTTAAACAACATGTCTCCTTATTTATATTTCACCTCATTGACATCTAGCTAGTTGCTCCAAGTACATCATGTAGTTGTTAGCATGTTCAATAAATCAGAACAAGAACTTATATATGGAAGCAAGTCTTTTCATTTTTGGCATCTGACAGCCATTATGGCTTATCTCCAAGGACAAGTCTTCCCACATTTTTTTTTTTTAGCATGACTTTTATAGCACAGTATTTGGAGAATATATTCCACAATGGTTGTCAAATTAATGTTTGTACACTAATCCCAATCCTCTGCCCCAATCTGTTCATTTCCTGTATTTTTTATTCTTGACACCAACACACTGAGAGTCCTATTTCTCATTCATCCTCCCAAATACAGTCAACTCTCCATTGATTCCAACTCTTAAAATGGCTCTCCTATTGTTTTCCCCTCTACTATCACTGCCACAATTTGGCCCTCCCTTAAGGATGAACTGGAGGTCGGTCAAAACCAAAAAAAAAACGACATTACTGTGCTATAAAAGTAACTCAAGAAAATGTAAATCTAATTGAGTTTCTTCACTATTAAAAAGTCTTCACTGGCTTTCCTTTATATGATGAAATCCAAACTACCATAGCACACAAGATCTTCAAGACACACTGCCATAGGCTCAATGCCACTTTGTTCTAGTAATAATCAATTATATGCCATTTTCCCAGATATGTTCACTTTGCTTCACAATCCACACCTTTGCATAAGCTGTTCCTCTACCCAGGAATGCCATTTCCCTTCAACATCTGAACAATACTTAAACCTCAGCTCCTTTAGGAAATTCTCCTTTACCAGTACTTTCTGCCTGGCATACTTCATTTTCATCATTTGCTTATCTGCTATTCTAAACAACCGGGCTGTAGGAAACAGGGTCCGTTTTTAGTAATCATCCCACAGAGGAAACCTGCATCTAAGTCTTAGGTAACAATAAAAATAGTTTCATAGCTAAGTTTAAAAAAAAAGAAGGGGCACCTAGGTGGTGCGGTCTGTTTAGTGTCTGACTCTTGGTTTCAAAGGTTCAGGTCATGAGCTCAGGGTGGTGAGATTGAGACCTGCTTCAGGCTCCACGCTCAGCATGGGGTTGGCTTGTGATTCTCTCTCTCTCTCTCCTTCTGTCATGCACCTCCCCCCCCCCCAAAGTGTACTCTCTTTAAAATAAATAAATCTTTTAAAAAAAAGACTAATAAAAGAAAAATATTAAAAAAAATATTCTGGAGTGAAAACATCCTCTTCGAAAATTTGTACCTGGGCTGTTGACTGCTGGGTAGCCTGATCATATCTAATAGATACTCAGATATTTTTTACAATGAAGAGAAATGAGAGTTTCATCTCATTTTTCTTCCAGGATAGATGTCTGTCAATACAAGGCAGATATCAATAAAAGAAAGGCTTGGAGGATCAATACAAAAGGCAAGTAATCTGTAAATAATCCAGAAATGAATACTATCTCCATTGCCACATACTCTCCCTCCCAGTGACTGAGCAAAATAATCACTTTCAAGTCAAGCTAGGTGGTCCCCAGTCATAATGGCCCAATTACCATACAAGTAATTTTCATTCTGGTATAAAAATGCCAACTTTTTTGGAAGAAATGCAGATATCATAAAATTTTCAAAGCTTTCCTGAAACATTTTATTTTGAGCAATTTTTACTTCTTTTGAAAAATTACCTAAATAGCAAACCATCACTGATAAAGGGCCCATCCTATAAACTTCTATCAGGTCCTATTCATGTTTCTAATCATATCTATAAGCCAATATATATATGTATATATATATATAGCTATATATATTATTAAATATATACATATAAAATCCATGGTTCATAACCTACATGATTAAAATAATGCCAATCTTACAAATCAAAATCAAATACTCTTTGTCAGCAAGGATTTTTTTTTCTGGATCATAGTTCTGTGGTTTTAAGAACATGCCTATAAGGATGAACAAAGTCAACATTTTCTCATTTCTTGCAGTAGCATTAGTTCTGTGTAAAAGAAAAATGATCACTTACCTCTGACGCTGTTAAAATTGTACTTAATAATTATCATTGTGGTATACCTGCTTTCTAGGATAGATAGATTAGACTAGCTGCCAAAGGATCATTGTTTTCTCGTTTGTCTAATGACAAGATCAAGTGTTTCTAGACTATAAATTAGGTTTTACAATTCATAAATAATCAGATTTCTCAGCCATCTAGAGACTTCTTAAAATACCAAGCCATACATGTTGAAATGGTATGAACTTTTGATTCTCAAGTATCAATATAAACTGATGAATTGTGACCCTAAAAAGCACCAAAGGCTAAAGCTCTATAATTAAACAAATAAATAATTATAAATCCAATTCCAAGAGTTACAAATGTGCTGTTATTCAAAAGCACATTCTTTCCCACTGAAAAACTATTTCCTTTTCTCTTTATAGCTGAAAATTAAGTCTTTATAACACAATCAAAAGATGTTGTGTAAATCAAAGAAGCAATTTTGTGCTAAACATTGTAAATTATAAGGAAATATAACCATGGTTAAAACAGTAATATCACTATTGTTATATTTTATTATTATAATTTATAATTATGTTAAAATAGAATTAAAATACAAAACACATTCAAGCACAAACAATGGAGACACATATTTTTATACTTAGAGAATATAAAAGTCACCTTTCACTCATGAGTTCATCTGAGACTTTTTGCTCTTCATAGTCCATTTTGTCCTTACTGGTCTGGCTTACTTCCTCACTTTCTAAAACTACTCCTTCATCTTGGATTTTTGGCCCTTGTCTAATTATTTTCAATTTCCTTTTTTTGACTTTGTTCTTGGTAAACTCTTGATATTGGTAAGCTCTGTCATTGTCCATGTCCTGGTCTCTACAACCTTCAAGGGGCTGGGTCATTGTCCGTTTGTTACAGATGTCCTGTGGGAGGTCCACTGCCATGCGTTTGACCTTTCTCCTTCTGCGCAGAGTTCTGTTCCCAAGGTTGTCCATGGCAAAATCTGATTCGTGCCATAGAGGTCTTTTTCCTCGTATATTATTATTTAAGTTTGATGATGGCCTGCGTTTAGCCACTAACATTTGGTCATCAGAGTCACTATGATCTTTTTTATTATTATTGTGATTCTCTCTATAGTCCTTGCTTGGTTCTTCTAAACTAGAATCAGAGCCTTCACTTAAGCAGTGGCCAGGCTCCCATGGGTGATGAACATTATACGACCTTCGTTTTCTCCCTCTCCTTTTCCTTGCTTGGCGTTTCAGAGGACAAGACATACTTCGAGAATGATCGCCTGTTTCAGCAAATCCACCTCGAGCTTGCTCTGAGCTCTCTTCCAACGCGGAGACAAGATCATGAACCAGTTCTTCCATGGTTCGACTGAAATGCCTACATTTTAAAGAAAGAAAAAAAATTAAAGAAAATAACCGTATTAACCCAGTTTATTACAGCAGATAATTCACTCTAAGTCTAAAATTAAGTTATTATAAAGCATGTTTAAAAGTGATTTTTCTATTCAAGATATTATAGTATCAAATATTCTGACTCATTTTTAAGTTCCTTTTTCTTGTACAAGTTCTTTTATTAAACATAGGAATTACTTCAAGGCACAGTAACTATATTAGCAATGAAATATCCCAGTAATTTCATATTTTTACTGTGTAATTATGGGAAAGTTGTTTCTGCTTAAGTCACTTTTCATTAGTCTACTCCTGCTCTTGCTCTACAGTTCTCCTAGAACAGATATAGAGAAGACTTTCTCAATCCTTCTTCCAACCATCCCCTCCTCCTAACTGACTTCTAAGTGAAGAAGGAAGCTGTATAATTCTTTACTCACCACATGCTCTACCCAGTCACTACCACAATAGGCAAGGGAGATGGAAAGACTGACAGGTACTTTCAAGATTTGTAATATATGTTTTTTTTTTTTTTTTTAAAGAGTTTAACCAGATACTAGGCATATATTTAGGCCACACTAATTTCATAACTCAGTCAAGCAGAAACTATGTTCTTATTCACACTGGAGCCTCACAGGTCTAAAATGGCCCTTCATTTTTTCTTACAATTCCTTCTGAGACAGTTTCTTGGCTTTTTTTTTTTTTTTTAAAGAAACAAACAAAAACCTCTGAATTATGTTACCAGTGAGAAGATTATCCACTTGTCAGTTAGGATAAACATTAAGCATTCCTTAGGAACTTTTATAAAGCATACTGGCCTTTTCCAAACCCAACTCCCAAAGAGTCTAAATCAGTTGGTGATGGAGAATCCAAAATTCTGATTTTAATTTTAAACCTTATAGGTAATTCAAATATGTATCTTCGTTATAAAAATTGTGATTCATCATTTCTGAGTTCTAGAAGCACCTAGGGATCAAAATATTCCGAACTACAGAGGCAGGGGTAGGCGCACTTTTCTGTAAAGGGCCAGATAGTAAACATTTTAGGCTTTGCAGTCCATTAGGTCTCTGTCATAACCACTCAACTTTAGCCACTGTAAGGTGAAAATAGCCCTAGGCAAGACATAAATGAATGGATATGGCTATGTTCTAATAAAATTTTATTTACAAAACCAAATGATGGCTGGCCATAGTTTGCTGACCCCTGGTTTATATAGTCTCTACAGTCTATAATTTTAGGCATTTGCAAGTTCCCAATAATAACTTTTAACTTTGTCTTTTCATTTTAACAACCTGAAAACAAACATACATTGTAATTCAACCAGATTTACTACTTATTAGATGATGTACACATACAGCTTCTAACACAAGTACTTACTATGTGCTAGGCCCATTTTAAAGTGTTTCATATGCATTAGGTCATTTCATTCTCACATAATAAGTGTATAAGGTGATATATGAGATACAGAGACAGAGACACTAAGGGCAATTGGCCCAAAATGACACACCTAGGAAATGGTATAAACAGGTCTCAAATTCCAGCAATCTGATTCTAGAGCCTGAAATCTATAGCCGAGAAGAGCATCCTAGTACTACATAATTCCAATAACCAGTTTGCATTTTTGTTGATGAGTGATGTAACAGCAGGTGGTACTATTTTATTTTATTTTATTTTTTAAAGATTTTATTTACTTATTCATGAGAAACACAGAGAGAGAGAGGCAGAGACACAGGCAGAGGGAGAAGCAGGCTCCATGCAGGAAGCCCGATGAGGGACTGGATCCCGGGACTCCAAGATCATGCTCTGAGCCAAAGGCAGACGCTCAACTGCTGAGCCACACAGTTGTCCCAGGCGGTACTATTTTAATTGTTCAGACAGATTTAATATACATCTATGTAAAGCCAAATTACTCAAGTTTGGCATCATATTCTTTTTAACAGAAAAACGAAAAAATGGAGACCTGAATCAACACATGACACAGGGCAGAAAAAGTGGTGAAGGTGTGATGAATCCGAAGGACCAATGCTGTAGCCGTCAGTAGAACGTACACTGTGAGCAATTCACTAAATGGACATATTCTTTCATTTAATGAGTTTGAATTTTCCAGATCTCCTTCGGCATTCTGAATGAATAAAAGCTTACGTGGACACACCTCTTTAAATATATATGTTTTATATAAACTCTGGAGAACCACTAAAAGGATCCTATATGTTACTAAGGTTTCAGAACACTGCATATGATTATGAGAAATATGTCACATAGAATTGTAGCCAAAAGAAAGGCTATAATCCTGACTAGATAATCCAAATGGGTGTTTTCGCCATTACCTCTGTTATAATTGCCTTTTTGTTTTTCTTTTATTACATCATTTGTTCATTTTGTTCATTTCCTTTAATACTATTTCTTCGGAAGAAATGTAGTCTGAAAGACCTATTATCTCTGAATATAATATAGTAAGATATAATTCATTTGAAGCCAGTTTAACATGTCTTATAATAAAGATCCCTGTCTAAAAGAAGACTCAGTATCACCTGGTTCTCAAGTAACTTACTTTTTGAAGATTCAGTTTTCTTACCAATGGGTAGGTGACTAGGTCTAAAAATTAATATAAAATTAACTCAATGCATGAATACAACCTCCAACTAAATCTGCAGGTTACTTTGGAAGTCATAATCCAGTGCTTTACTTTAAAAAGAAAATGTGGTGTTCCTAACATTAGGTAAAGGTTAGCAATCAGGTTCAACCAATTGAAATGTGTCTTCAAATAATTTCATTTAAAAATAACTGCATGGAGCCTGCTTCTCCCTCTGCCTGTGTCTTTGCCTCTCTCTCTCTGTGTGTGTGACTATCATAAATAAATAAAAAATAAAATAAATAAAAAGAACTGCTGTAACAGACATAGCTTAAGAAAATAGAACTGATAATATTACTAAGAATGAGTGCAAAACTTCTTTTGCCATCATTAAAATTGTCACCATGATTTTATATTTTCTTGAGAGCTTAAAAAATTTTAACCAGAAGAACCCAATTGATGCCATGATGTCACTCAAGTAGGAATCCGATATGAATATCAACGAATACAATTACTTTAAGAGAGTTTTTGGGGTGCCTGGGTGGCTTAGCTGGTTAAGCATCTGACCCTTGATTTCGGCTCGGGTCATGATCTCATGGTTGTGATATTCAGGCCCACGTCTGGCTCCACAGTGGGCACAGAGAGCCTGTTTGAGATTCTCTGTCCTCTTCTTCTACCTCTCCTCTCCCTCTCAAAAAAAAAAAAAAAAAAAAAAAGACTTCCTAAAAACCCAATAATAATGCAGAAAAAAAATACATTTAACATAAGTGCCATTCAGAGCTCATCAATTTTTTCCCCTTCAGTTTCAACTAACCAGACTACTGCAAGCCAAAATCCCTGTTAATAAGCCAGTAATATTAGTCAAGCTGCTTCACTTGTATCTCTCAGGGAAAACTGCCATCAACTGCCCTCACAGAAATAAAGTCGTTATAAGAGATCACCATATGACCAATAGCTCATTTATTTTCTTGGCGTTTACACTGAAGACCACTGTATGGAGACACTTTATCTTCAAGATAGTTTATTAAATGAGACCTTTCCTATTGAAGAGGAAACCTGGAAATTCCTAACTTTCTTGTAGAAAAACCTGTGTTTATTAAGCATTATTGTTGTAAAGTTTAAATTACGGTAAAATTCAGTGAATTACCACTTAGCTAATTAGAACGACAGTCACATTTATAAAACCATTTCTCTTTATTTGGAATTCAATGGAAATGATACCTTTTGAGAACAGTTTGCATTGAGCACAATGTCTCAGATACCCCGTACCTAACAGTTTTCTTAAAATACTCCAAATGAATAGAATAAAATTATAGTCCCACTATCCATATAAAGTTGGATTTCATAAAAGGAAATGACCTGAGTAGATAGGCATTTTGGTTTTGTGTAGGTATTACATTGCTTATGATCAACCCAAAACTTGATATGTCAGTTTTGGGTAGGAATTTTTTGCCAAATGTTAAGTTTGTTTGTCCTCCTCTGGGCAATATTAAACTTCCAACAAAATGAGTCAATTGCTCTCTCTGGCTTTCTTAACACGGAGCTCTAATTAATTCAGACAAAGGCCTTTCCTAAAGATGCATGTTTGAGAGTGAGGATGGTCAATGAGTGTAGAAAAACTGGCACTGAGTTTAGGGTTTTCTTTCAAATGTTTCTGGTTCAAGAGAGAAGATGCAGGAAGCTGCCTTAGTCCAAACTTACTGTTCCTATGTTCCCAAAGAACTGGCAGTTGACTGATAAACCAAGGACTCTCAAACAGCGGTCAACAAGGTATAGGCAGGCACAGCAGGAGATGAAGCCCAAGGAACCCCACCCCCCAAACTGATCCCCCTAATAACTAACAACTGTCAACGACTATTACTTTTTAAAGACTCTCTTAGCAATAACCACTATTCGTAGGAGGATAAAATATAGCAAAATCTCCTTGCCTAGATACTGATAAAAATAATTACATAGTAAGATGATAGGCATGTGTGTCTACTGAATAAACCCAACAAGTTCATTAGTAAACAAAAATCTTCTGATAAATAAAAGGTAACTGACTACAGCTGACAGATACCTAGAAAAGGAAAAAGAAATCAAAGACTCCTTATCACTTAGTACACAGTAAAATTCTCATCTTCATCTCTGTAAAACATGAATTCACTCTTCTACAAAGTTAAGGAACTCCAGCAGTGGAGTGCTAAAATGAAGTTAAATGTTGCCAAATACAACTGCTTAATTGGCTCTTAAAAATTTAAGGATATAGTCATTTATGTGTTAGTTTCTATATGACTAAAAACTCAACGTGTACAAAACCAATGTACAAAGAGTACCTAGTCAAGAGCTATGCTGATGAATATATGCTATGATTGATCAGAAACTTAAGAAAATAGTCTCAGAATTACGTATCTCAATATTCATGTTAGCTTTTGCTTAAG